GCCAGGTCTTCCCCAGGGCCTTACACAATCCCAGTTAGGGGGGTGGGTATAGCACAATTGGGGGAAGCTCACCACCACGTGGAGGCAGGATCCAGGCACTCTCAGGCAATCCCCTGCGTTCTCAGCCCCTATGCCAGAGGGAGGCCAGAAGACGCACTCTCCAACGGTCTGCTGAGATCACAGTGGCTACACAGTTGGAACCCATCCTCCTCAGGCTGTCTGCTAAGATCTCATTATTTTATGTGCATGAGTGTATTGCCTGCATGTATGTGCACCCATGTTTTGCAATGCCTGTGGAGGTAAGAAGTGGGCATCAGATCCCCTGGAACTGGAATTCCGAATAGTTCTTAGCTGCCATGTGGGTGCTGGGAATCGAACCCAGGTCCTCTGAAAGAGCAGTCAGCGCTCTTAACCACTGAGCCACCTCTCTAGCCCTTAAATGTAAACATTTTTATAACACAGTATTCTGTTTAAATAACAATAAATCAATTGCTGATCTTCAGAGCAAGGACCAAAGTAAAATTAAAATGTGTCTGAGGGGGCTGAGAAGAAGGCATAGGGGGTAAGAGGGCTTGCTATACAAGCCTGACAATTGGAATTAGGATCCCAGAACCACATAAAAAGCTTGATATGGTAATGTGCATCAATAATCCCAACACTCCTATGGAGAGATGGGAGAATTGCCTGGAAGCTTGTGAGACAGCTAGTCTAGAGTATGCAGCACAGCAGAAACAAGAGATCCTGCCTCAACAAAGTAGAAGGTGAGAGCTGACTCAAAAGCTGTCCTGTGACCTACACGCATGCACCATGGCATACGTGTGCCTACAATATACAAATAAAATGTATCTGAAATATTCAGGCTCTTCAAAACAAACCATATAGTCATACTGCTACTTCTTGACTTATATAAGAGATTTTTAGTCCTTCAAAAAAAGCTCCCTGATTTGAAGGACACTGACATCTCCCAACTTTTAGGTGCTTACGTCTTTTAGTATGTCTGTGTACTTAGACTTTGCTTTTAGAATTTTCTGAAATTCCTCAGATTCCAGATAGGCAAGCTGCTCTCTTTTTTTTCCTGGTAGGCTCCAATTCATTCTCTGCTGAAGCAGAAGAAAAACATTAACTATTGCTGAGAAGTCTGAGAAGTTAGTGTGCCTCCATTCTGCTCCCTTCCTCTCTCTCTCTCTGCCTCCTATGCCCTTCAACCTTAACAGACCCCAGTTAGTACCAGCAGAGATGACCTCAAGAATAAAAAGAACTCTGGACCCAATGGCATGTGCCTATAATTCCAGAACTAGGGAGTGTGAGACAGGAGGATTGCAAGCTTGAAGTTAGCCTGCGCTACTTAGCGAAATCTTTTCTCAAAAAAAAAAAAAAAAAGAACAAGCAGAGAGGCAGAGCCTAGAAGATGAGGAGGCATGCTTGACTGTGAACTTAGAAGGTTCTCTTCTGGTTATGCTTAACAGATAACAAAAATCCTACTCATGAGCTTTTAAATGACATCATCAACTTCAGAGCTTTAGATCAAAGTACAAAGGAATTCTATTCCTTTCCAAGTAAATCTTTATGATAACATAAATATGTAAAGATTCAGTGAGCAATCATTTCCTCACCTGCTCAAATTGTGCAGAATTTCATTTCAAGTTAATTTGATTATGAAAGAATGGCTCAATGAGCCAGGCATGGTGGTACATGCCTATAATCCCAGCCCTCAGGAGGCTGAGACAGGAGGATATTGCGCTCAAGATCAGTTCAAGGCCACTTTGGGCTATTTAAAGATTGTTTGGAAAAACTGAAACACTAGAATACTTTCTTAAACTGTGTTCTTCTCTACACGCTGCTTCACTTCCAGCACATTTTGAGGGCCCATTTGTTTCATTACAATATTGTTTGGATCTGCTTTTTTAAGAATCTGTCCTTTTGTCCTTAATTTTGCAATAGTGGCTAACTAGAAAAAGAAGGATGGTAAGAGGAAACAGGCAGCTAATACTCTCTTGTTCTCTAGTAGAAATTGGCATAACATAACATTTCATTTTACCTAGCATTAAAAACACAATTATCAGGTTGGTGAAATGGCCTGACAGTCTGAGTTTGATCTCTGGACCCCGCATGGTAGAAGGAGAGAACCAACTCCCACAAGTTGTCTGCTGATCTCCACACATGGGTCATGGCATGCCTGCATGTGTATGCACACGCATATACAAAATAAATAGTGCAAAAACTCAATTACTAAAATCTGATAGAACACAAATTGGGGCTAAAGAAGATAACACAGAAATAGGTCTATAAAGTTACAGTTCATTTAAATCTAATATAAACTGTTTAACACTAGTCAGACCATATATTTCCAGATCTATAAGGAAAACACATACATGACCATTTTGCTAGCTTGAGAATCTTACAGAATTCTAGTATTGGCTCTGACTAGCACGAACCATAGGGAAATAGCTTCGTTTCTCAGCCTTAGTTTCTACATTCACAAAAGGTGGTGATGATGACACTAGTCCATCTAAGGTCATGACTGGATGGATGGAATTCGGTAATGGAGGCAACGGTTTATACATGTATGTAGTAAGCAAGGCAGCATACTAACAATACAGCCAGAGTAACACACAATATATGTAACTGATATTACTGGAACCACTGTATTGTTATTATAGATATATGGCTTTAGTTTTGAGTAAGCTTTGGCCTTGAATTTGGTTATAAATGGTAACTAGAAAAAGCAGAGAAAGGCTCAGTTAGAGACTCAGGAAGTAAATAGGTGGTGCACGGCTACCCTTCAACCAAATGCAGCTAGAGATCAGCTTTCATCTGATCTGGCCAGGTTCTTCTAAGATTTCTTTCCTCTTTTGAGACAGGTTCTCCCTGCAGCTCCAATTGGCCAGGAACTTGCTGTTGTAGACCAGGCTTGTGATTTCACAGACATTTTCCTGCCTCTGCCTCCTGAGTGCAAGGATTAAAGGCATGCACCACCACTCCCAGCTCTTTCCTTGTCTTAAAAAAATATTTAGTTTACTTTATTTGTGTGCATGCACACACACAGAAGCCACAGCGAGTGTGTAGAGGCAGAGGACAACTTTTGGGAGTCAGTTCTCTCCTTCCACCATATAGGACCTGTGGATGGAATTCAGGTCATCCGTGCTTCTACCCACAGATCCATCTTGCTGGCCCAAGATTTATTGTTTTTGTTTCTTTGGTCTTTTTTTTTTTTGGTTTTTTTGAGACAGGGTCTCTCTCTGTAGCCCCAGCTGGTCTGGAACTTGCTTTGTAGACCAGGCTGGCCTTGAACTCACAGAGATCCTCCTGCCTCTGCCTCCCAAGTGCTGGGCTTAACCAAGATTTATTTTTAAGAATTATGGAGAGATGGCTCAGCAGTTTAAGAGCTCTTATTGCTCTTCCAGAGGACCAGTGTTCAATTCCCAGTACCCACTTGGTGGCTAACAACAGTTGTGACTCCAGTTCTGGGAGATCTGATGCCTTCTTCTGGCCTCTGTGGGCACTGCAGACATGTGGTGCACTTATATACAAATAATTTTACCATTTATTAAAGAAAAGAAAATTTACATACTTAATGTGCTAACTTCACTGATACTTTAATTTTATAATTGAGAATGAGGCTTCATATAACCATGTATTACAAAACGGAAGAAGTATGTTTAAGGCCACTTCAGAAATTGTTGGAAAGTCTGTCCTAATCCCAAACTAAAATTCATTTAATAATTAAAAAAATAAAATGCTCTAACACAGTACATTTCAAAGATTGATACTTATATGCAGAGGAAGAAGGACAGGAAAATGTTCAATGTCTCTGTTTGCTGTAATTAAGCCATTAAGTTTTTATAAGAGCTGAAAAGAGTATGTATAGTAAAAACACTGTAATTCAGAACATAAAACAGTATGGAATCTGAGTTAAGGTGTTTCAGGCAGTGTCTGCTGGTGTCATGTGGTGTAACTGTGTGCAGTGCAGTATGCAGTGCAAAGTGTGCATATTGTATGCTCAGAATGAAGCCTGTAGTGAAGTTGTTCCATCAATATAGGCGAGTGCAGTCAGAGACAGTCTGGATTCATTATGTGCTTGATTTTAAATGAATTTCTGGTCATTCAAAAAAGTTTTGGCCCACAAACCTTTTACTATCATCAAAATTTTCAAGACTCCTACATTCAGTTATATGACCCTGTATGAAGTTGCAGCCCAGTTCAAGAAGCTGGTTTAAAACCACTATTTTGCAGGCTTAGCTCAACAATTCCAAGAATTTTTTGCCCAATGCCAGTGTCTCCAGCTATAAAGCAATATGATTCTAGAAGCTGCCTCCTTCAGACTGCCAAGAAACTGTACTCAGATAATGACTCTCACTGTCTTGGATTAAATTAATGGTATTATGTTGACACCATTATCTTTGAAAATTACTTTGACTCTATTTATCATGAGAGGTAAATAGCTGCAGGGTGACTATTTTTTCGGGTCACCACTATATAGTTTTAAATTCAATCTCTGTCACACAGAATGCAAAACTAATGAAAACAGAAGCCAGGTACCATTTTAAAAACAGAAGTATTGAAAAGGCCAGGCATGGTGGCACACACCTTTAATCCTAACACTCAGGAGGCAGAGGCAGATGGATCTCTGAGTTCCAGGCCAGCTGGTGCTACAGGGATACAGGGAGACCTTGTCTCAAAAAGACTTTTTAAAGAAGTATCTTTTTTCTGTGTATATGTGTGTGTGTTAGCCTGTAGAGGTCAGAGGTGTCTTTATTCCTCCACTGCTCTCCACATTATTTTTTGAGACAGGGTCATCCTCTGAGTGCGGAACTCATTGATTGGCTAGAATAGCTGGCTGGCAAGCTCTGAGGATATCTGTACCTCCCCACCTCCCCCAAACCAGAGTTACAGACATAGACCACTGTGCCTGGCTTTTTACATGGGTGCTAGAGATCCAGATTCAGAGTGTCATATATAAGCACTTTGCTGACTAAGCCATCTCCCCAGATCCCAGTTACCTTTTTAGCTTCTGCTACTACACTTAGCTTTGGTCTTGGTGGTGATGACCCATCAAAAAAGAGAACATCATCCCCTTCCAAAATGCCTCCACCAAGCCTGGGAATCCATGGGGTTGTGGCTCCTTCCAACCTGTGGAGTTTTGAGATTGGGCGGTAGGTTGTTGGGATGAACATGGCACACCTGGGCTCCAGACTTCACTTGAGCTTTGGATAAATCTTTAAAGAAACATGAAATAAAATATGGGGCTGGTGATGCATCTCAGTGGTACAGCACTTGCTTAGCATGCCCTAGGCCCTGGTTCCATCCTCACACAGCAAAAACAAATAACAAAACCCAAAGTAATCAAAATATGCACACAGGGCTGTAAAGATAAGTCTAGAATTCAGAGTAGACTGGGAGATTCTATGCAGGTCAAGAGAGGGTAAGTAGTTGTTGGTAATTTCCTTTCTTTGGTTAACAATTCAAATGAGCAAATTAGAACAATACTATCTTCACTCCTTGGCTAATTGAATATGCTGCAGTTGTTCTACCACTGACTATTGTTTTACCACCTGGCTTTCTAGGGGATGTTGTCTACAGCACACACCTAATGAAATATGTTGAAATGTGGAAATATCCTAGTCAGTGGCTAGCTCCATGACCTACAGGGCCCCAAAGAAATCTCCCTGTATTTCCTGTTTACACTAGGGGAAAGAAATACATACAAAATGTTTAGAAATCCTTATCAAAGGACAGGGGATGAGAGCAGATAATGGGACTAAAATTCAAGAATTCAAAATAAATAAAAATAAACCCTGGTTGGGTGTGGTGTGAACATTTAGTCTCAGCACTCAGAAGGCGGATCTCTGTGAAATTGAGGACAGCCTGGTCAGTTCCAGGCAAGTTGGGGCTACAAGTAGACCCTGTCTCAAAAAGACCAAAACAAACAAACAAACAAAAAGAAACCCTTAACAAAAAAGGAACTACAATCTGCAATCTATATAAGAAATATTACTCCATATGGATTTAAGCTATTTTGTTTTTTTAAAAATTTAAGCCAGGCATGGTGGTGTATACCCATAATTCTAAGATTTGGGAGACAGAGGCTGAAGGATCAGTTCAAAGTCAGCCTTGGCTTTGGCGCCCTGGATGGCTTTGAACCGGCAATACTCTTGTCTCGGCTTCTACAATGCTGGGATTACAGGTGTGCACTACCAAGCCTAAGCCTGACTTAGGACCTCTTTCTCTCTTTCCTTCCCTCCTTTGTTTAGTGACCTACTTATATTTAATGCAACTTCAATGGAGTATGAAAATATTCTATACATGTATGAAACACTCACTCAAACCTGAGCAGCTAATGGAAAATTACATGTCAAGTATGAAAAGATAGAAAAGTACATAAGACAAAAGCCTTTTAACTAAATAAAAATATTATAGATAGCATAGTTATTTGAAACATCCCCAAGGGCCAGGTCTCTTATCTTCTCTAGTGGTCTCTACACTTTTTTTTCCACAGGGGTGCTATGTTGTTTGAACTTAAAATCCTCCTGCCTCTACTTCCCAAGAGCTGGGATTACAGGCATCTGCCACAATATATGACACTTTTAAAAAAATTATTCTTATTTGTGTGCACACCACAGCACACACATGGAAGTCAGAGGACAACTTGCAGGATTCGATTCTCTTTTTCTACCATGTTGGTCCTAGGGATCAAACTTAGGTTGTCAGGTGTGGTAGCAGGTGCCTTTAGCCTCTGAGCCATCTCCCTGGCCCCATATCTGACACTTTTAGGAGCGATTTTAAAACAGCAAACTCCAGAATTTTCTCATTTTGTGATGAAAGCACTGAGGCTCAAGATCACATTGTGTACCTCTTCACACTTTCTCTTTTCCAGGATGATATTAACTACTCTCACCTGTACCCATTATGCACCAGGCGTCACTAGCCTAAGTTAGAAGTAGGTAGCCTTCAAATGCCATATATTTAATAATAAAAATGTAGCCAACCAAAACCAGCAACATTCTGAGGATTCCAGAGGTGATTTATCCAAGTGGGAAATGTTCAATCCACTCCGCTCATCATCTCCATGTTTCTTCTGATTTCTTCTTCCTCATGTCCAACATCTGTTGTTTCTGTTGCTTCAAGAGAGCTGATGCTGAGATAGACTGGATGGCAGGTTTTGAGCTTCCCATTACTCTTAAAACACAAGTGCACATACTAAGGGACTCTGGGAGAGGCCTAGAGAACTTGGACACATACATCACACCATAATCACACAACTGTACCTGATGCCTTGGCTTTGGCTAAATGTTGTTTTAAGTTTCTGGCTCCAAATGTGGGCAGGGCCATCAATTCTTTGAACTCCTCAGAGCAAGACAAGCTCTTCTGGGAAATTCCTGAAACATGTAAACATCAATTTTGGAGAATTCAGAATTCAAATGGTCTGATGTGATATGACATTTACTTTATAAATTCCACGGTCATAATTTAGTAACCTGCTAATGAATAAGACGGAATACTAAGAGAAAATACAGAACCTTGAACTGCTAAGGTCAGACTAGTAGGACAGTAAGGGTACCGTAAGTGATCAGAACACTAAGCCCCCGATGTTTCTGGGGTCAAGTGACAAACTACTTCTGGAATATGAGTGATGAATAAGAGTCCATGCATGTTCCTGGCCACTGTTAGGACAAGTACAGGTGGACTGGCACTGTCTGACCTAGGCCTATTTTAACAAAAAGGAACTGATAAAATCAGCCAGGAACCTGATACTAATACAGGATATTGAGAATATGACCAGATATATAAGGAAATTTTAGAAAGCATAAGAAGCTAAGATCAAAATGCAGATTTCTTTCATGTCTGTCCTACATTAGGCTTCCTCCTTAGCCTATGCCACATTACCTACTAAGTGCGGGTGATGAGATGGATACTTATCACCCAGAGTACAAGAGACAGTCACTGTCAACTCCAGATATTACATTAAACCAGAGACAGAAAGGAAGGGTGAGAGAGTTACCTAGTTTTTGTTTTGTTTCCTGGATGATGCAGTTTGCACCCTTCGCAACCAGGTTAGTCAGAATGGTTTGAACCTTCTTCCTAGGAGCAACAGCTGTTGCCCTGAAATGAAAAACAACAAGAAAGAAAGCTACTGAATTGCAATGCTTTGATGAGAAATGAAGGCTTGAGTATTCTTACCGTATTAGTTGCCAATTGCCCAAGTTCTTTTAGTACCACACAAGCAGGCATTGCTAACTCCAGTTCAATAGTCCAACTGGTTTATACATTGTTTCATAGATGAAGAACATGCAACCTATAGGTTTCTTTGAGGCCTATTATGGTGGTTTGAATGAGAATGTTCCCCCACAGGCTCCAAGTTCAGACATCTTGTCCCCAGTTAGTGGCACCATTTTGGGAGATCTTCAAAGGCGTGGCTATGCTGAAAGAAGCATGTCACTGGCAGCAGGCTTAGAGAGTTCTTAAGCCTTGCTGGATTTCCAGTCACTCTCTGCTTCCTGTGCCTGCCTGAAGATGTAAGCCTCTGCTTTCTGCTCCTGCTCCTGTCACCTCCTGCCACCATGCCTCCCTACCATGACTGACTTTAATTCCCCTGGAAAAAAAGCTCAAATAAATTCTGCCCTTTTATAAGTTCCCTTGGTCATGGTGTTTTATCATAATAACAGAAAAATAACTAATACACCTAACCAAAGGGCTGAATAATAACAACAACAATAATAATAATAAAAAGCCACCAGGGCTGAAAGATGGATTAGCAGTTAAGAGCACTGGCTGCTCTTGCAGAGAACCAGGGTTCAATTTCCAGCACCCACATGGCAGCTAACAGTCATCCATAACTCCAGTTCCAGGGGATCTGAGGCCTTCTGACCTCCACAAGTATTGTGTGACATAGGTACATTTACATACATGCAGAAAATACACTCATACACATAAAATAAAAATAATATTTTTTTTGGTCTTTTTGAGACAGCATCTACCTGTAGCCCCAGCTGTCCTGGAACTCACTATGAAGACCAGGTTGGCCTTGAACTTACAGAGATCCGCCTGCCTCAGCCTCCCAAGTGCTAGGATTAAAGGCATGCGCCAACACGTCCAGCAATAATATAATATTTTAAAAAGCTAATACTTTGATCTAGAAGTCTAAGAATCTGTATTAAAATAATTAATGATTGCAAAAAGGGTACTATAATTATAGCTTAATTTAAAATATTATTAGAAGCTGGACATGGTGGTAAACATCTATAATTCCAGCATTAGGGAGGTGGAGGCAAACGAATCAGTTCAAGGCTAACCTCGGCTACATGAGATCCTATTTCAAAAAATCAAAATGAATAAGCAAATAAATAAATGTTGTTAGAAATAGCATTAGCATTCACCTATAGGGAACTGTTTAAAAGAACCAAATTAAAGAATACTGTATAGTTACTAAAATAATGACAAAAATGACTATTTGACAAGGGAAACGTTATTTTATGTGGGGGAAAAAGGAGTTACAGAGAAAGTATAGCTCAAGTATGACCTCATTTTGTACTAATAATCTGCATATATTAAAACATACACACAGACACAAATACATACTCCAAGAAACATATATACTAAGGAACTAACAGTTTTATAGTTGGGGTAATGATAAATAGTTCTTATTTTCTTCTTTTGGTTGAATTGTATATTTCTGTTTAAAAATAATGTATATGAACTGCGTTCAGCAGCGTCAAAAAATTAGATTCTCCTGCCTCTACCTCCTAAGTATTTTCTAGACTTTTGAAACAGGGTCTTCCTATGTAGCCTAACCTAGCCTTGAACTCATGATCTTCCTGCCTCAGCCTCCCAAGTACTGGAATTACAGGTGTGTGCCATTACATCTAGCTAAACACAGAACAAGGGCTCTGTTTAAGACCACCATATGTCTCCCTCTCTTCCATGTGTTCAACTAGCCATCTTAATAAAAGAGGTCCTTGTTTTAGGCAGTGAGCTATCAATGATAAACCCTAGACAAATGTCCCATGATACAGAAAAGTCCAACCATCAGTTTCATCTTAAAAGACAAACAAAATCCTTATCCTAAAAGAAACCCCAAGAAACATCTTACAAAGATCCTAAGTAGGAGATGGAAGAAATGCCTCCATAGTAGAAGCCACCTTGACACAGTCGCTCCTTCAGGCTGGTACCTTTCCTGGCAAACTTCTTTGGAATCCGTCCCCCCGGAGAAGGTGGACTGCAGATCAGCTCGCTTTGCACTGAGCTTCTTGTACTGAACCTGGACGTATTACTGTATTATTAGTCACTGTTCTGTTGCTATGATAGAAACACTTATCATTCAAACCATCACATTCCACTTCCTGGCCACCATAGGCTCCAAGTATTTGGACATTCTGTGCCCAGATGGTGGCGCTGTTTTGGGAGGTTTTATTAGTCACTTTTCTGCTGCTGTGATAGAAACACTGACCTGAACAACTGATAGAAAGAAGAGTTTATTTGAGCTTACGGTTCCAGGGGAATTACAGTCCATCATGGCGGGGAGACATGGTGTCTGGAGGTGGCTGGACCAGGAGCAGCAGAAGCTAAGCTCTCACATCATCATGCAGGCACAGGAAGCAAGAGAGTGCCTGGAGATCTGGCAAGGCTTAAGAACTCTCTAAGCCCACCTCCAGTGACATGCTTCCTCCAAGATAGCCACACCTTCTAAAACCTCCCAAAACAGCGCCATCATCTGGGGACAAAATGTCCAAACACTTGGAGCCTATGGGGGACATTTTCATTCAAACCACCACAGGTACTAACAGTACTCACAGTCATTCTGCGGAGAGGAATAGCACTCAGTGGGGATGTGGTCAGCAGGCTGGGGAGCAGTGAGGAGTCATGCAGCCACATCTCCCAGCTTCACAGTTCTATGTACATGCCAAATTCCTGCCACCTGCAAAGGCTCCCAAGTAGAAAGAGCCATGTGGCTTAGGTCCCTCTTAACGCACTGGACCAGTAAAGGAAACATGGCATAACTCATCCTCTTTGTTCTCCTTTTACAAGGGAAATAAAATGAGCTTCTACAATAAACCATGAAGAAACCAGATAAAAAGTCTTTTATATAAAGTCCTTTGGTAGGAAATACCCAGAATAGGCACCCACAGAAAGCAGATTCATCACAAGGGGTGGAGGTAGTGAGGCCTGGAAGTAATTATGTATTGGGTATAGAGTGCTTTCAGGGGTGATGCAAAGTTTTGCAACTAGATTAGACTGGTAGTTGCACAACTAAACACCACTGAGTTATATAGTTCAGAAACAGTTCGTTGTGTGTTTTACCTCAGCATAAAATAATCTTTAAACACCAGATTCTAGCAGCTTTTCTTTTTTTTAAAGATATTTTATTTATTATTTTTATTTTATGTGTTTGAGTGTTATGCCTGTATGTAGGTAAATGTACCATGTCATGTAATGCCCACGGAGGGCAGAGGAGGCTGTCAGATCCCCTGGAACTGGAGTTACAGACAGTTGTTAGCTGCCATGTGGGTGCTGGGATTTGAACCCGGGTCTTCTGCAAGAACAGTCAGTGTTCTTAACCGCTGAGCCATCTTTCCAGCCCCTCTAGCAGCTTTTCTAACAAATTTTCTGGCTAACTCTTAGACAAATGCTACCATTTCAGAAAAAGAAAGAGGAAACAATATTGTACTGTCCTAAAGGGGACCCATTAGATAAGATGACAATGGATTTTAAAGATCTAGCGCTCATACAGAGATCATGTACTTCTGAGACCTTTCTCTAGTTGTTTCCCTCATCCATCTATCTATCTACCTATCTATCTATCTATCTATCATTTATCTATCTATCTATCTACCTATCTATTATCTATCTATCTATCTATCTATCTATCTATCTATCTATCTATCTATCTATCATGTATCATCAATGTTGGTTATTTGTTTTTCAGCCAGGGACACGATATTTATACCAGGCTGGTCTTCAATTCACATGGCTCCAACTGCTTCCACTGGGATTAAAGGCAAGCAACATTATGCCTGGCTTTCCATTTCTTGCACACTAGCCTCATGTACAATGAAGGAATGAGGGAGATGAAATGAGATTAATAAAACTTTTCATTAATTTATTTAAAGAACTCTAGGAAGCACTTCATTCCTACTCGGATGGCTATAATAAACAAACAAAAAAAAAACAAAAACAAAAACAGACACTAACAAGTATAGGCAAGGATGAAATTGGAACCCCCACAGATTGCTAGGAGAAATATACAATTGTACACAAAATATAAAATTGTATACAAAAGTAAATATTTGTAAGCCAGCCTGGAAAATCCTCAAAAGCCTAAATACAAAGTTACCATATCACTCATTAATTCTATTCCCAAGGGAACTGAAAACATACATCCATATAAAAACCTGCACATACATGTTTGTAGCAGCATTACTTATAATAGCCAAATGTGGAATTAACCCAAGTGTTTATTACCTGAAAAATGGATAAACAAAATGTGGTCTAGCCATAACATATAACCATAAAAATTGTGTGGCTAAGTATGGCGGCATACACCTGTCATAACTCCAATACTTGGAGGCACAAAGGCAGGATTAACCAGCTTGGCTATATAATGAAATTCTGTTTCAAAAATCCAAAACAAACAAACAGAAAAACCAACATGGATATGGTAGCATATGCCTGTAATCCTAGCACTTAAATGGATGGTGGCAAGAAATAAGTTTGAAACCAACCTGAGCTACATAGGACCGCTCTCAAAACAAAACAAAAATAAAAACCCTTCTAAAGACAAAAACCAAATTACCACCAACAACAGAAAGGAAGAAGTGTGGATATATGCTACAGCACAGGCAATCTTAGACAATGTTAGGTGAAAGAAGCCAATCTCAGAACCTATCATATGAAATACTTAGGATAGGTATATTATAGAGACAGAAAGCAGACTGATGCTTGCCAGGGCTGAGGAATGACTGCAAACAGGAATGGGATTATTTTGGGTAATGAAAATATTCTAATATTATTACACAGTGGTGATTGCTGCACAACTGTGAATGCATTGTACACTTTAAATTTCAAAGGGTGAGTTGCATGGTATATGGATAGTATCTTGGTGAAGTTTTTTTTTAAAGCTCTAAGAAAAGTATAATGAAATTATAGGATAAGTTAAAATAAGGTTTCTGGTATATTTCATCAATGTGTTTGATCTCTGGAACTAGAAAGAAATTCCTCCTGATCAGGTAGCAATAAAAGATGACTTTCCTGAGGTCAAGACCTCCCTGCCCCTTTGTCAGTCCTCACCTTATAAACCTGGCAATTACTGACCACACATTCAATTCTCTTATTGACTCTTCCTATGAAGCAGCAAACTCAGTTCCTGTTTGGTCATTACCACTAAAGCATTTAAAGTTGTTCCTAATGATTCTTTTCTTTGGCAAAAATCAGTCTCATGAATTTGAGAATCACCAAATTAACTATCTGTGTACACGGCTCTCCATTCTTCTTTTTGGCTTTACAGGTCCCCAGGTCCAGAGCTTCTCCCATAATTAAGACCTTTTGAGGATGATCATAGATAAGCACACCTGTGAGAGAGATGAGGTTACACATGTGTTAAAGGCCTTTATTACAATGGATGAAATGTCTGGAGTCGATCTGGGCAGGCATCATTGAAGCCAGTACTCTAAGACAGCTGTAGATTGGGACATACAGAAGCCTCATTTGGCTCCCTTCTCAGTAACCATCCTTCCCTTCCTCTTGGCTGTCAGAATCCCAACTCTGTCTGGGATGTCAAAGTGCTTGGCCTCAGGCAATGGAGCCTGTTCTGTTTTCCCAGCATTCCCTACAGCCAGAAATGGTCATGTGACTTAAGACCTGGCTAATTAGACTGAAGCAGGAGTTGATAGGGAAGCTCTTGATTTCCCAATAAAAAGACAAAGGTGGGATGGGAGGGCAGGGTAGAGGAGGGAGTACAGGAACAGATAACTAACATTAAAGACCTTTGAAAATACCATATGGAAACCTACTACTGTAGATGCTTCCTAAAATATATACATATATAAATGAAGTTGGAGCTGCTGGAAAGATGGCTCAGTGGTTAAGAGCACTGGCTGTTCTTGCAGAGAACCCAGTTTGATTCCCAGCACCCACATGGCAACTAACAACTCCAGTTCCAGGGGAATTCAATGCCCTCTTCTGACCTCCACAGGCATTGCACAACAGGAGTGCACTTACATATGTGCAGGCAATACACTCAAACATCAAATAAAAATAATAAAACATAAACAAATGAAGTTACCTTTTAACGGGGGGACAATGCCTCTTCCTAGACAACCTTGGCTATCAAACAAAAAGCCCAGTACCAGGTATGGGTGACTTCTTTTCAAGTTGTTGGTCAGTGGGGTCCCACAGGAACTCCCTCCACTAACATTACATGCTATTGACATTGCTCTTGGTTACCCTCCAGAACTTGATGGTAAGACCCTATTACTGAAGACACCACATGTCTGAGTTTTAGGACACAGAGAAATCAAGCTGGTACCAACCTAGAAGCTTTACTCCCATTGGCTAGCTTACAGAGCTGGGAGGTTCTACTCATACTTACAGGGTAGAAAAGTCATCATTAGTCTTACCCAGCTGTGAACGCTGTGAGCTATGAACCCTGTGGCAAGATATGCCTGCTGGTGGTGCAATGGTGGACCAAATGTTATGGGCATAATCACTTTTGGACTGGATTTAAAGCCTATTCCATAAGATGGACCCCATTCAGTTACTGGTTACTGGTATGATTAACTGGGCCAAAAACAGTGTGGCTGGCTAGGTCATAGGCCCTAGAAGAGAGCCTGGTACTATTATTCAGCTAAATGGATATAGCAATAAACTGCCTCTCAAGTTCTTATCTTTACACCCAGACTGGTACATTTCTCAATCCTCATTAGAGGAGCTTCTTTTTGCAGTAGGTGGCAATTAATACAGAAACCAATAACTGATCAAATGCAGAGAATAAGAGACTGTGGAGTGAGTGCTTGGCTCTAAATGGGACATCTATTATTACCTGTCTTCCCCCGCAAGGCTCAGGGATCATCTCAGAAGGGGCAGAAAGATTCTAAGAGCCAGAAAGAGTAGATGTCTGTAGCAAAACAGTATCTGCTAGACATATAGTACAGTTGCACACATAAACTTACAACAGCTGGGACTGGCACAAGACCAAGCCATCCAATATCCCACTGGCATATGATAGCTACTGAAGACAGAGTCACTTTCTTTATGGGTGTGGCCCTCCATGCTCCCTAGATGGCCCGATACCCATACACACCCAGCTAGCACTAAATGGACTCAGTGTGTAATTTTAAAAAAAGAGGGGGCTGGAGTGATGGCTCAGCGGTTAGAATGCTGATTGCTCTTGCAGAAGACCCGGGTTTGAATCCCAGCACCCACATGGCAGCTAACAATTGTCCGTAACTCCAGTCCTAGGGGATCCGGCAGCCTCTTCTGACCTCTGCGGGCACTGCACGACACGGGTGCACTTACCTAGATGGAGACAATACACACATACACATAAAATAAAAATAATAAATAAAAAAAGAGAAAGGAGGGGGAGAGTATATGAAGTTGAGAAGGGGTGTGTGTGTGTGTAGAAGAGGAACAGAAGGGGAGGGAATGAGGGGTGGACTGGATCCAAACACATTATATGCATGTATGAATATTATTTAATTTAAAAAGAGACACAACCTAGCTCACCCTTCCTCTTCATCATGCTATGAATCATGATAAAAAGGCAGGAGTACTGTCCCTGAATGTCCTTGAATGACCAAGTTCTCTCATTCCCTGCTGGCAATTCTCAGGCAGATCAAAAATATGAGGTTTTGAGGTAAGGAGGAATGTCCTGAATAGCCGGGGTTCTGTCTATCATTCCTCCCACACGAGATCAGAAGTACAGTGGCTAATGGGTAATAAAATCTAAACCAGAGAGCTTTTGAAACCCCCAGCTATGATGCAAACTTGGCCATAAATGGACAAGACTCCATCCACACTGGATAGTTCTGAGTCTTGAGGGATGAGCTCACTATGGATCCTAGGCTTCTGTTGATTCTTGAAGCCTATCTGTGAGTAACAGAGCTGCTTTGCCTTACTGGACTCATCAAACTTCCTGCCAGATCTAGGAATTTTAGCAGAAATTGGCAAGCTGCTTAGACTCCTCCCCTAGGATTCGTAACCCAACCCATGAACAGTATTGCCCTCCCAGGGGAGGGAAATGCAGTGCTCTGCTTCATAGTAATGGCAGGAACTTCAGGGGTATCTTGTCACCAAGACAGAAAGTCAGCCACTAAAAGACATGATAACCCTGAATTACCTAGTTTGGGATTTTTTTTTGAAGAGGGAGGGCAGGGTCTATGTACTTGAGGCTGGCCTAAACTCACCAAGTAGCCCAGGTTGGCCTGGAACTTGTGATCCTCCTCCTACCCATGTCTCTCAAGTACTAGGATTACAGGCATGTGTCACAACAGCAGGCTAGACTTAAGAAAAACTGGGCTGGCAAGATGGCTCAGTGGGTAAAGACACTTGCCACTGAACTGATTTTGCAGTTGTCCTTTGACCTCCACATGTTCAATGTGATACTTGTGGCCCACCCCATTAAATAAATAAAGGTAATAAATTTTTTAAAAAGGAAAAAGAAAAAATAGTAGTTGGGCATGGAAGCCTACACCTGTAATCCCAGCATTTGGGAGGCAGAGAGATTGTTGTTACTCAAGGTGAGCATGGGCTACAGAGTGAGACCATCTTCTCTCTCTCACACACACAAAACCCTCCCCCCATTTTATTTAAAAAATAATACTGGGTTTTACCTTGTATATGTTGGCCTGGAACTTGTTATATAGCTCAGACTGGCCCTGAACTAATGGCAATCCCCTTGCCTTGGCCTCCTGACTGCTGGGATTATAGGTATGAATAACCAAATCCACTGGTTGTTAAAAAGAAAACTAAATGAAACTCTATTGCATTTTTTTCTGTTATATGTGGCCAAACACAAACCAATAAATGAAGAATTGTTGCCATTCTCTGGTAAAAATAAAGCTCCTTGCTGGGTCAGAGCAGAAAAATTGCCTACTGCTCTTCACATGGGTCTAGATGAGCCATTTACTAGAGAAACAGTGGGTAGCGCCAAAACCGTAATATTGCTTAAGATGAAAATTCACTCTGACTTTACACTCCAGCTGTGACTATAAAATTAATGGAGTAAAATTTCTTCAACTGTCACACACTGCTTTCTTTATACAGTCATGGAAATTTACATAAGAGATCTAAGGAAACCTAAGTTCCAGAGTTCAATAAACTTGGGCTGGCAAGATGGCTCGGCTGGCAAGATGGCTCAGCCAGTAAAAGTGTTTGCTGTGCAAACCTAACAACTTGAGTTCAATCCCCAGAACCCACATAAAGGTAGAGCGAACCGACTCCATAAAGTTGTCCTCTGACCCCTATTCTCGTACCACATCACACACACAAATATTTTTTTTAAAAAAGGAGTTCAGTGAACTCCAGGAACCCTGGAACTAATTTTAAAAAAGTCTAGTGAAAGTAGATACAAAACCATTCAAAATAGGTAGAATCACAAATATCACAGGAAGTGCGCCAACAAATGACGAGCCATAATAATGGGGACATGCCAATATAAACCCCAGAGGTAGATTAACTCAAATGTTTCTGATAGAACAGCTAACTTGTCAACCAACCAATCTAATTTGAGATTCTTACCTCTTCAGAACCATCTCTTGGTTTCATGGGATTAGCATTGAGTGACCCTATGACAGTCCCTCGCTCTGTCTTCCAGAAATCTTTGTGAACGTCTCCAAATAAGAACAACGATATACTGTCAGGTCACGAAGATCATTCAGTCTCCAGATGCTAAACGTTTTTCCCTAGAATGAACAGTATTACTTTTAATCATTTTTTTTGAACCATAGCTTACAGTGTCTCCATTTATGGTTCATCTTATTGTGGAAGAATATATGGTCATCAGAATGCCTGTGAATTATAAATACTTTCTTTGAGCTTTAGTGTTTTATTGCCTATCTCATTTCAGAGATGAAGATAAAGCAAGGCAAACCATGAGTAAACTGTTAGAGAATCTGTCAAGTCTAAACAGCAGGTGGGCTAGTACTACCTTCCAACCACACAAGTATGTTTATGTGCAATATCCTCCCCCCACCACATTAATGGCACTATCATTTAATAACATACTGATTACAGGAGTAACTAATTTTGCTTTTTTGTCTTTGTGAGACAGGGTCTCCCTGTAGTCATGGCTGGCCTAGAACTTGCTATATAGACCAGGTTGGTCTTGATCTCAGATATCTGCCTGCCTCTGCCTTCCGATTTGGAATAGAAGGCATGCGCCACCATGCCCTGCCAGGAATAACTAATTTGGTAAATCTATTATTTATTAGTGACTGTATTATTAACAACCATCTAACTATACCATGCTGGGATGGGCTAGCAACCTCGTCAGCATCTCTGAATTGTTATGGCTATAGGGATCTGTAGACTCAGCCTCTCTGAGTACTTAGCCTTCTCCCTCCACAGATGGGATTAGAGTGTCACAGGGACAAACACATGTGCCACTAAAAACAGTGGCAACTGAAATGTAATAAGAATGACTGGGTGATGCAAAGCCCAGCTAGATCTAAGTAGAGAGTTCTTTACAGACATTGTCCTTGAATACCAACCTAAAGACATGTGGCAACCAGAAGTTATTTCAAAGTATTAACAGGCAGCAAATTAAGGGCCAGAGACCCCGCTGCTGGCCTGAGATGATGAAGCAGTTTAGGAATCACTAAAGTCACACTGTTAGTGCTCTGAGGAGTGACTTTCTTCAGTATCACCCCAAATGTCACCTAGTCCACTTCTTCTAGCTTCTCATGTGCCATCTTCTCCTTGATCTGAGACAGCCTGATCAGTTTCCAACTTGTCATTTTTTTGTTGTTCATTTCTGTGGAAGATACTAGAGGTCACCTGGGTCAAGAAGTCTGTAATCAACAGACTACCAGGTGATCAGGGGACGGTGACAGGCAGAAACCTCTACAGTACCTCAGAGGATTGACTTACATAGTATGTCCAAAGCAAACATTTTAGTTTTGGTTTCTTGGAACAGGATCTTACTATACTATGTAGCCCAGGTTACCCTGGAACTCAAGATTCTCCTGCCTCAGCCTCTTGAGTGCTAGGATTACATACATGTATACATTTTCTAGAGCAGATAAAAAAAGATAATTTTTAAAGTGAAATTTGCTTTACCCTGGATATTTTCCTTAAAAAGTACCTTAAAATCTTTTATCTTATTACAGTAATTATAAGATTAATTTCTTTTGCTTTTGAGATAGCATTTTACTTTGTAGCTCAGGCTGGGCTAGAAATCACTAAGCAGCACAGGCTAGCCTCAAACTCTCAATCTTCCTGCTTCAGCATCCTGAGTATGGGGATTTCTGACATGTACTACCACACCTGACCTGTCTATCTTTATATATTTAAAAAAATGGTCTACAGTCCCTAGCACTGCATAAAATAAAAATTGTATAAATTGTACCTAAAGATAGAAAATTTTAAAATAAAATCTATATCACTGTTTCTGCCTACCAATTTCTGATTAAGTATTTACCCATTTCCTTTTAACAGGTTAAATATTTTTTATTATGTAAACATGAATAAATGTTCCTGGCCTGGAGAGATGGTTCAGTGGTTAAGAGCACTGGCTGCTCTTGCCGAGGACCTGGGTTTGGTACCTAGCACCCACATGGCAGCTAACAACTGTCCATAACTCTAGTTCCAGGGGATCTGACCATCCTCTTCTGACCTCCATGGGCACTGCATGATATGGCTACACTTATATACATGCAGGCAATACACTCATACACATAAAATAAAAATAATAAAAGAAAAAACTTAAAAAAGAAAACAAAAACAATGTGTTCCCTAAGCAATTCATACCATATGATACTGAGTTAAATCCAGTTCTGTCAGTTTGTAAATCTGCTGCACACACACTCTGCTTCTAGAAGACCCATCTTCTGACAGGAAGAAGGGCATTGCAACGGTACAGAGAAAGGGATGGAAAAGGATGTTACAGTTACCTACCTGAGCCACAAGCCTGAGAAGGCTTCCACAGAGACCTGGGAACCCTGTGAGACCTGTTCCCCAGAATTCTCAAGGGTGCCTGAATTCTGATTTCTAGTCATCCAACTGGGTTTGTTGTCAGGAATAGCTTGCAGCGGTTGGGAAGATATGCTTGCTGTCCTTGAAGATGAGCTTTTCAGCTTCAAAATATTGGAAACAGCCTATTGTGATTGGGAGGGTGCACTTGTCCTCCCTGAAGGTGAGCCTTTAGATTCTAGAAAATTAACATAAGAAGTGAAAAGAGAATGACCAAGAAGCACAAAACTTGCTTACAGAATTCTTTTTTGCAATCAACATATAGGATAGTTTTTATTTATTTAGTTTTATTTTATGTGTATGAGTGTTCTGCCTGCATTCATGCTGTACAATGCCTGAGGAGGCCAGAAGAAGGTGTCAGATCTCCTGGAACTGGAGTTTAGGACAGCTATTAGGCTCCATGTGGGTGCTGGAAACTGAACCCAGGTCCTCTGCAAGAGCAGCCAGTGCTCTTAACAGCTGAGCCATCTCTCCAGCCCCTTAGAATATTTTTTGTTGTTTTGAGACTAAGTCTCACTATGCAGCCCCAGGATGGTCTAAAATTTATGTTAATCCAAATGTTGGAATTACAGGCACATACCAAGGATGCCTTGTAACTAAATTTTGACAGAGAACAAGACCACTTTCTGACTACTCTCCAAATCTCAGCAGTGCTGTCTCCATTACATTTCTGTGGCAATGGAAATACTGTGTTTTAGTGTTTTACAATAGTACCCACCAGACATATGTAGCCATCAGTCACATAAAATGTGACTAGTCTAAGAAAATATTTCTAATGTGAATTTAAATAGACACATGAAACTAGTAGCTACTGTATTAGAGAGTGCAATTCTAAATGTAATAACTTTTGCTGTGAATTCACCCTATATGAGTACTGTGTTGGCTTCCAAACAAAGGATTAGGTAAGATCTGTGCTTAGATCAAATTCTACCTTGGGAATTACAAAGGTTAATTCCCTTTTCTTCTTTCTTGCTTCATTTTAGTACATTCCATTTTATTTGTGGGGTGGGAATGCAAACAGGGCACCAGGAAACTCTTGACTATGCATGCATTAAATATTCCTGATATGGCTAGTATTTATATTTTAGAATTGTTTACAATATGTGCAAATATCAGAAAGATTAGGTCTAGTCCATAATAAAATATCACATTCTCTTTGATAAGGCTGTTTTGTTTACCCCCAAAGGACTTTGGATCATTGCTCCCAGACTAAAGGGTTGCCACAACCCTAGAAGTCCCACTCATGCAAAACCTAATTATGGACACTGCTAAAATGAAATACCTTAGTAATTCCAAAAGTCTTGAGGGACTATACCTCAAATTAGAAACTCAGAAGTGTGTAAATTGAACAGATAATCTGCTATCCAATTAGTATGAGCTCTCCAATGCTGTAGCAATCATCTACTACTGTGTGCTAGGCCAAAGCTATTCAAGAAGGCCTTTTTGAATAAATGTAGCCAATAACATACTGTCTCATCTAACTATTATCCTTAGATCATTTGTATTGGGTCTTTTGAGCAAAGTGAGGCAGTTTAATAAAAACAATATAAGGGCCTAGAAATAATTTTCATGTGTTTCTTGTGTATAGACATTTTGTTACCACTCTACTATGCTCCTGGCAAATAAGCTTTTCCTTTTTTTTGTCTTTTTGAGACAGGGTCTCCCTGTAGCCCCAACTGAACTCTCTATGTAGACCAGACTGGCTTTGAACTCACAGAGATCGGCCTGCCTCTGCTAGGACTAAAGGCCTGTACCACTACGCTCGACTTGCAAATAAGCTTTTTCTAAAGAAGGGATCCCCTAGCTCAATACAGCATAGCTTCAGATACAACGTCACACGTCATAAAAAACTATGTGCCTTTGTCTCACAAGTCTAAAGATTACACCTCCAGATTTCCAATGTAAAAACTCAATCTAGGAGGTTTGGGAAATGGCTATTGTTGATAATGTAAGCATGAGGGCCTTAGCTCACATCCCCAGAGTAAATTTAAGAGAAAAGAAAGAAGCATAGTGGTACACACACTCATAATCCCACTGCTGGGGAGAGGGAGACACAGTGGATCCCCAGGACTTGCTAGTCAGTCAGTCTAGCCTACGTGTTGAGCTCCAGTCCAGTGAGAGATCCTGTCTCAAAAAATAAATAAATAGTACTATGGAGGCAGAGGTAGGCAGATCTCTGTTTGAAGCTAGCCTGGCTCCATAGCGAATCCAGGCCAGCTGGGGATACAGGGACTCCCTGTCTCAAAAAGCTAATAAATAAATAAATAAATGAATGAATGAATAAATAAATAAATACATAAATAACAAATAATAAATAAATAATAAATAGGATAGACAATGCCTGAAGAACACTGACATTGGCCTCTGACCTCCACACACATGCCCACATGTGTATATGCATACTCACACAAACATGCATACACACAAACTCAATCCAGTAGTTATATGTGCTACAGTCCAAGCAAGCAAAGTTATATTATAGGATGTTCTACTAAGTACTTTTCAGACACATAAGAGCCAAGTATATCATATAGCTTCCATTCCTGAGAAACTAACTCTTCTTTTTTAAATTTTATTTATTATATGTGTATGAGTGCTTTGCCTGCATGTATGTAAGTACACCCATACCCTGCAATGCCTGCGGAGGTCAGAAGAGGGTGTCAGAGTCAGATTCCCTAGAATTGGAGATATGGATGGTTGTAAGCTACCATATGGGTGCTGGGAATTGAACCTGGGTCCTCTGCAAGAGCAGCCAGTGCTCTTAACCACTGAGCCATTTCTCCAGTCCCAGTAACTCTTCTTGATAGGGAGCTAAGACAGACCAAAAACAGACAGACATCCATACATACACGAGTACTGCAGTGCCACAATATATTTTCAATAGAGCTAGAGCAATGAGACCCAGTGAAGCCTTGAGTACTACACCTGTCGAAGTCTTTGGCATCCGTGCCACTTGCTTGGTTCTGGGGAGACCAGGGATATCAAGCTGTGCAGAAAAGCATGCTGACTCCTGAATGTGCTGAACTTTCTTCTTAAGAAGGGAGAAGAGCCGTGGAGACTTACTTTCTTGATTGAAAAGAAGAGAAATTAGTAAAGCCAGTTTAGAGGGACTCAAAGGCTGTTTTGACAGAAGCTGGATGAAAACAGCAATGCTATAGTTTCCAGATAACAAAAATTTATAGTATTGTCAGAATTGCAGTTTTATTACCAGATTTGTGTGGAAGGGCTGAACTTGAAAGCTGTTTAACTGATGCTGCTTTTAGCTGCTCCTGTAAGAGTTTCATCTGTTCTTGCAACTTCTTTACTTCATCTACAAAATAAAAACATTAAAAATAAGTTGGGAGAGAATGCTATCCCTGACACAAACACTGGCTCATGATTAACTTTTATACTTCAAAGACTATCCTTAGAGAAATAAAACTTAAACATTTATTTAGTTTTATTTTATGTATATGAATGTTTTGCCTGCAGAGGACAGAAGAGGGTGTTGGATCCCCTGGAGCTGGAGTTACAGACGGTGTTAGTTGCCATGTGGGTGCTGGGAACTGAACCCAGATCCTCTGTAAAAGCAGCCAGTGTGCTTTAAACACTGAGTCATCTCTCCAACCCCAAGAAACAAACTTTTTATCTCTAGTAACCAAGCCTTTGACATCTGTGTTAGTTACAAACTTATACGACTGGCTGGGCATGGTGGTACAACACCTGTAATCCCAGATCTCAGGAGGCTGAGCTGGGCAGAGACTGAGGTCAGCCTGGGTTACATAGTAAGATCCTGCCTGAAAAACAAAAACAGAAGAGAAATTTGTACTACGGACACACATACCAGATGCAATTCTACAGTTAACAAGTTTATAGAGTTAAACAACAATGTTTACCTCACAAATTGAAATATCATAAGTAATGTGTTAGCTCCTGTATTAGAAAAAATAGTCAAGCACTGAATCTTGTTATAACTTAAAAATATAATGAGATGATGATGAAGAAAGGGACATGCCTCAAAGCTGCAGTTCAGCAATGGTCTTGCTTAGATTGCAGGCTTGCCCTTGTCTTCCCATGCACATAAATCCTAAAGTAATATATTCTGCAGGAAACATGAACAGTGCTAAAGTTATTCTACAGAACATTGATTATGATTAGCTGACAAGGTTATCAGGAGGCCCCTGAATGCTGAAGTGTTGACTTTAAATGGTGCACCTGCCAATTCATACAAATTTTGTGTGTGTGTATGCATGTGCGTGTGTGCACATATATGCATAGGGGCGAAAGGTCAACACTGGGTGTCTTCCTTGATTGCTCATCTTAGTTTTTGGGAAAGGGTCTCTCATTGAGCCTGGAGTTCACAGATTCTGTTAGACTTGCTGACCAATAAATGCCAGGGGCTCAGTATAACCCCTACAGTGTGGTTACAGATGCACGCAACAGCACCCAACTTCTAAGTGAGTGTGGGGATCCAAATTCAGGTCCCCACATTTGTACAATAGGCACTCTACTGTTTGAGCCATCTCTGTAGCACCAATTATTAGTTTTTACTAAGTCATTTATTACCACCCTTGAATCTACAGCTATTTTGATGAAAACTCTCAGGCTTGTGGTCTTCATTTACTTTATCAAGTTGAAGAAAGCAAGTGATCAGGATACCTTGCAACTCCTAATTGGTTTTCTCTTGACTGGGAGCAGAAGCAGAGAGGACTTTGTTTTCAACTTGCAAAGTAGGTACTTCATCAACTGTTAAGTCCCCTACATCTCCAAAGAGAGTGGCCAAATTCTCCTTCTGGTCTGCTTTTATCACTGTTCCACCAATAGCCTCTTGTGTGTAAGAGTCACCATCACCATCAGCTTCAAAAAGCTCATCAAATTCATCTGGCTCACCATTTTCCAGGGATAAGGAGTTAGTCTCTTCTGAATTACAATCCAAGGCTGACTCATTCTCCTCCAGCAGCAATGTCAGCAGAGACAAATCATCTTCCTCCACTAGAGGAAATAGAGGAGAAATGAGAGTCTACCTGGGGAAAACAAGCATAGCTAACTCATGCATTCAACACAAACATAGCGGTTTAAATGAATCTACAGATTTCTCACTTTGTCTTGTGTATCTGTTGTTATATCTACCTTTCCTGTCCCTGGGTGCTTCTTATAGGACACTGGGCTAAATCTTTTTACCTGCACTACTTTAATGAGCCAACTTGGCTCAGTACCAACATCTATAAAATGTGACCAATAAGGGAATAAATGAAAAATACTTAAATATAGATTTAGACTTCAGTATACTCCTTGGTGCGCATGTGAAATGCTACCTGGTAGCTCCATGCTCTTCTTCTTATTTTATGAAATTACCAGGACTAATCCCACAATGTCTCCTACCTGGTTACCTAGAGCACCACCAAAAGTCATCTCTAGTCTCCATGCTATGTTGACACAGCTGTCCTACCTCCTTGTTCCCAAACCCTTGAGATTTGCTCTCTGGAACTCAGATCCTAGCAATTTCCCTTCTATCCTTACTGAGGGACAGCAAAAATCTGGGCATCTCTACAAGTCTTTTGAATGGATGTTGTTTAATCATCTACACATTAAACTGTAACATCTAAAGTACTATTGTGTACATACTAGGCATGCAATAAATATCTATCAGTTCACTTCAGGTTCTTGATATCATATCATTGTTATTTTGGAACAACTAATCACCCTCTTTCAAGACCATAGCTTTTATAAACTTTTCTAAAGTTTATGATACCAGATTTTGTCATTAAGAACCCCATGTGGGGGCTGGAGAGATGGCTCAGGGGTTAAGAGCATTGGCTGGTCTTGCAGAAGGCCTGGGTTTAAATCCCAGCACCCACATGGCAGCTAACAACCATCCTTGAGCACGTCACAACATGGGTGCACTTACACACATGCAGTCATAACACTCCTACACTTAAAAAATAAAATTAAAACATTAATTTTATATGTATGACTGTTTTGCCTACATAAGTGTGCTCTGGGAAGATCAGAAGAAAGTGCTGATCGAACGCAGGTCGTTGGGCTTGGTGGCAAGCGCCTTACCATCTCACTGACCAGTCTTCCTACTCTCTTCCTGGCTCACTTTGAAGTGGCCGCCACAGATACATGACCTCTGGCATAGAAACTGCCACGTTTTTCCTATGTGATAATCAGGCACTGTCTGATAGCCTGATAGAAGCCCACCGCCACATGTAAATGGGGCATCCTAGGAGCACCTATCAACTGAGGCTTTTGTTACTGCCTCCACACTATAAATCTTTTGGTTTCACACCAATAAAGCAAAGCTGTATCTCTGAACTTGTCGGGAGCTGTATCTGTGTCTCCCTGTGTCTGGAACCAGCCTGTGATTCAGTCTTCCCGGAGGGGGCTATCCTTCCGTCAACAACCACTTGTGAAGATCTTGCATTCGCCATTCTTGCACCTCCCCTCGCGATCCGGTGGCCAACGGATCGTATGCTCAGAGGGAGCGGCCGGCAGCTTGGCGCAGAACCCGCCCGGCAGCTTGCAGCCCCCCGCAGAGTCTGCACTCGCCCGGCCCGGAGCGGACCAGCCAATCCTACAGAGCCCCGCCTGCACTTCCCGGCAGCCGTGGAGAGCCAGAGAGACCCACCCAGTGGTGCGCAAAACCCGCGCACCCCAGCCAACAGCAGCGCGGCATGCGAAAACCGCGCCCACAAGACGCACACAGCAATAGCTGGCGCCCAACGTGAGAGCCTCCGAACCCTGCGCCAGCCAGCAGCTGGCGCCCCCTGGAATGCAGAATTCGTGAGTATCCCTTCCATCAGAAGGGCATTAGCAATCCCTTTCTCCTAGATTAAAAGGCAGCTGTGCCTTTAAGCCATCCCCACCTTAGCGGGATCGAAAATCTTTCTTTCATCTCCCATCAGGAGATTAAAAGGCAGCTGTGCCCCCAAGCCACCCCACTCGTGGGGCCTGGCAAATCTCTCTTTCATCTCCCATCAGGAGATTAAAAGTCAGCTGTGCCTCTAAGCCACCCCACTCGTGGGGCCTGGCAGTCTCTTTTCTCTTTTCCTCCTTGTATTTTCAGCTTCTAAAATAAACTTCCCTAATCGGTTTTGTTATCTTGCCCCCGGGGTACTCAAACCACAGCTAAAACCAGTTAGGTGAGAATTTAAATTAACTAGCCCCTGCGGAGCACTTGAAAGTTCAAGGTGGCTTGCGCCATATAAACAAATGAACAAAAGATTTAAAAAAGCCATTTTTTTTTTTCTGTAGACCTTAACTCTGCAGCCATGCTTGTGTCTGTCAGCGCGTTCCAATCCCCTGGTGTCAGACTGCTCTAGGAACATTAAACACTAGACAACACTATTTTCCTTTTTATAATGGGTAATTCAGCATCACGCCAGAAAAAACTCCAAATTCGCTCCCTTAGAGCCTTGCTTAAATCAAGAGGACTTAAGATTTCCCAAAAAGAAAGCTTAAAATTTTGAAATAAAGTATCTCAATTTACACCCTCATCCTGTCAGCAGACATTTCTGATCCAGAGGTCTGGACTAACATTGCATATCTGGCTCATAAAAAGGAAATCCAGGAAAGACACAATTTTCCCCTTTCCTTTCTCCCCATAATAGCAGCCATCCAACAATGCTTAAGAAACCCACCTAAGATTGAGGAAAGCTTACAAGCACCAAAAAATAATAAAGGGGAAGGTTCAAACAATACAAAAGACCTAAAATATGCTATGATAAACACCCTAGAGACAAAAGGTTTTATAATAGCTACAAATAAAATACAATCACACAGCAACAAACTCAAACCAAAAAACTGTTCTGGCTGGGACATCTACAGATCCCTTACGCATGCCCCTCCCCAGGCTCCCATTCCATCTCTGCTGTACCACCATGCTCAGGCACTTCACATCTGTAAAGATGATCCAGCTAATGTCTTAGTCTCTTGACCTTCTCACCTTCACTACTGCTGTCTTCTACCCCGTCTTAGCCACAGACTCCCTGTCATTCTTTGTCACCACAGTAAAGATAAATCTCAAATCTTGATTTTCGATGCACCACTGTGACTGTCCGCCTCCTTTCCTTCCAGTCTATTCACTTTAGTATTCCTACCTAGCATTTCTCCACTTCCATTTAGGATTTTCGATCCAGGGCTGGGGATATAATTTAGTGGTACAGTGCTTGCCTAGCAAGCATAAGGACCAGCACACACACACACACACACACACACACACACGCAAATGTTCAACCCACTGATCTGACTTTAGTACAAGGCTTTTATTTCTAATCATCCCCATCCCCAATGCCGTCATTTTGGATCTGTTTTATCAGACTATAAAGTCACTGAACTCTAAAGACTCTGAACTCTCCTGCTTCTCTTTTTCTCATGTTTGTTCTCTGACAAAATCTTTTCCCTGACTAAATTTAATCCAAGTCAGCTGTGTTGCTGGAGAGAGACATGCTATCATGCTGACTGGTCTGGTTTTAAACTGATACACACCAATAACAAATAGGCATCCAACACTTTAAAATACTCATACCTAAGGGCCAGTTCATGGTGATACATACCTTTAATTCCAACATTTGGGAGGCAGATGGACTTCTGTGAGTTTAAGGCCAGCCTGGTCTACATAGTGAGTTCCAGGCCAGTCAGGAGTACTTAATGAGACCCTTTCTAAAAAAAAAAATCAAACACTGGGCATGGTGGTGCATACCTTTAGTACCAGCACTTAGGAAGCAGAGGCAGGCAGATCTCTGTGAGTTCCAGGCCAGCTGGGGCTACAGGGAAACCCTGTCTCAAAAAGATTTAAAAAAAAAATCAAATAAGCTGGGTGTGGTGCTGCAAGTGTTTAATCCCAGCACTCAGAAGCAGAGGCAGGCAAATCTCTGTGAGATGGAGGCCAGCCTGGTCTGCATAGTGAGTTCTAGGCTAGTTGAAGCTACAGGGAGACCCTGTCTCAACAAAAATACAAAAACTTCATACTTAACATGTATGAGACCCTGGCCTCAAGTTTGATCCCCCGACACTGAAATAAAAATAATTCTCCAACCTATTTGCTTTCCCACTTTTTACTTCAAGCCATCTCTCAACTCTGTGTCTCCCATTTCTCCTTCTGTACTTGGTTTTAAACTAATTATATTATATTTTACAGAAACAAAACTAAACCAAACAAGAAGCAATCATCTTTCTCTTCTTTCACTGCCAAATCTGAATATATGCTTTCTGTCTCTCCCCCGCACCACAAAAATGGACAAAGTATCTAGTCTTATATCGAGGCATTTCCTCCATTTATATACTGGATCCCATTCCTCTTAGTTTCTCAAGGATTTCATTCTACAATTAACAACTCTGTTTCCCACAGTATCAACACTTTTCCTTTCTCATGGAACAAACACTCCTTATAGGTTACAAGTCATTTTCATGTCTCCCATCTTATCAACTAACTGCTAAAATAGTTTTTGCACTTTAAAACTTGCTATCTCTAGCCAGGCGTGGTGGCGCATGCCTTTAATCCCAGCACTTGGGAGGCAGAGGCAGGAGGATCTCTGTGAGTTCAAGGCCAGCCTAGTCTACATAGTGAGTTCCAGGACAGCTGGGGCTACAGGGAGACCCTGTCTCAAAAAAAACAAGAAAAAAAAAACTTGCTATCTCGCTCCCTTGATGAAAATGTAAGCAGAAAATGTTCAAAAATACATCCTTAGAACCAGTAAATGTTTTTTTGTTTTTGTTTTTTTCTGGTCTTGATATATAGCCCACATTGGCCTTAAATCTTGTTTTTCCTATTTCCAGAGTGCTCAAATTACAGGTGTGTGCCACCATGCCCTGCTTCCACTATGCCCAATTTCTTTCTTTTTTAACACAAGGTTTGTTATGTGGCCTGGACTGAACTCATGATCCTTCTGCCTCAGCCTCTGAACTGCTAGGATTACAAGGGTGTAACACCACACCTGGCATCTAATAAACTGTTTGAGTCCCTCTATATTGGCCAAGTTGTGAAGTTGTGCCAATGAAATGAGATTTTCCTACCAGATACTATACTATGGACAGCATGTCCAACTCACAGCAAAAAGTTATACCCTGTATCACAAACACTACTCTGAAGGCAATCTGTTAATTTACAAAATAGGAACCTATCATTCCACCAGGAGGTAATCAGTTTTATGTATATTACAGTGTAATTAATTTCAATGTTTCATTTTACTTTAAGAAGGCAAAGCAGAAACAAGATGGCAGCAGAAGGAGGCATACGCCAGGCAGCAGGGCAGCTGGCCTTAGACCCAGAGTATGCAGGTCTCCAAGAGACTGAATGTGTCCAATGGACCATTTGGAACCTCTTCACATAAGATGAATATATTTACCTGACCATTGTTGCACCCCAATCCTGCGACCCCCAATGACCACCAAGGAGTCCAGAGAGCATGTAAAAGCAAAGAGCCTTTATTTGGGCTTAAGCTCAGGCCCTCAGATTTCACTGATGCAGAGGATCTGTACTGAGAGCTCCAATCTAGGGTAGGTTAGGTTTTTATATGGAAGTTTCACAGAAGCCCACTCGCACCAAGCATCCTTTAAAACGATTGGATGGTCCTATACCCTAAGTACGGGGAGGATTCTTATTGGTAGGGGCTATCTTTAGGGTATTAGAATGCACTGACTGGTATCCATGGGGCCAGAAGTTTCTGTTTTTACCTTATAAGGCTGCTATATACCCCAGGCTTGCTTGATCTATAGCTTTCTGGGATGGGGGTGGTAAAACAAGATTACAACGTGCCTGGGCATGCCCAGGCTTGCCTGAAACAGCTAGTCAAAATGGAGTTAGTGCCGTCTTAAGCCAAGCAGATTACAGAAGCAGAAAGAAGTGGTAGGACGAGTCAGAGTCTCACATTTCCCCCTCTCCTAGTAACTAGGGATGACCCAATCATGGGTCTGGATCGTGATCTCTAATGAGGGGGTCTACGGGCTGATACTGGGACCTCAGGACCATGAGTTGTACTGCATTCACCTGCTCTCTAACAATGGCAGTCAGCCAATTAATAATACATGGCCCAACAGTTAACACTAACAGGAGGAGGATTATGGGCCCAGTCAAGGCTGAAAGTAGAGTGGTAAGCCAGGGAGACCAATTGAACAGTTGTTCACACCAATTTTGTGGCTTTGTAGGTTGGTATCTGGAGAGGAGTTCCTGGTAGAGGTGTTTGAGGGTTTTTACATTTTCTTCAACAATACTAGACTCATTGACAAAGAAGCAGAATTTTCCTCAAAACCATGCAAGTTCCCCCCTGTTCAGCTGTGATTAGGTCCAGAGCTCACCTGTTCTGAAGCACCACTCCTGCAAGTGAATTCATTTGTCGTTGGAGGGACTCAAGGCTGTTGGCTGTGGACGCCACTGCCTGGTCTAACTTGTCCTGGAAGTCCCCTGCCAGATGACTGGTTTGAACGACAGCAGCAGTCACCGCACTCTGGGAGCCTACTGAGAGGGCGAGTCCCAGACCCACTAACAGGGGAATGAAGATTTCTCTCTGCAATCGGTCATGGAGGAGAAAAGCAGCCTCTTCCTCCTCGAACAAGTACACCTGGGGGGTGATGATTACTGGAACACAAAAGGCAGGCTGAGAGGAATTAACGCAGGTCAAAATGTCTCCCCCATACCAGAGAAAAAGGGGAAGACTGACGCAAGCAGTTCCAGAAAGAGTCACATTAGCAAGGCACTTGTGATGGGCAGGAATGGCTTCACCAGAAATGCAAAGTGGGTAGTCAGGTGATTGTTCAAACAGGGGAACGCCCACCAAACAGACCGTCAGAGGAGCTATATCCTGGAGTCTTAGAGAGGGTGGCATTAACTGGTACTGCGGTCAGCAAGGGTCTATTGCTAGATGCACAAAGAAAGCAATTAGAGGCAATGGGGTGGTTGGTGAAGGGTAAAAAGTCCACCACATATTGTATATATTGATTCCAGGACATGGTTGATTTTGTCTGCTCCTCCATTTGTTTTTCCTGTACAATAATGCTATGATGGGTCAGTATAGGCTGAGCTTCCAGCACAAGCTGGTGGGAAATGTGGAAATCAGCAGTGGGGTAACTGGTGAATCCCCCTGGGTAGAACTTTCCTACTACCCCAGTATGCCAACATTCATTCCAGGGATCTGCAACATATGTTCGGGAATAAGGTTGGCCATTTTCCAATAGGAATATGGACCTCTCCTTTCCTGTAATCCCTATTTGTCCCCAGGTTAGGCCTGTCTCTAGCTTGCAGAAGTAGCAGCACCCTCCAAAGAGGGTGCTGTCTTTTAAACATGACGAGTCTGTCTGCCAATAAGGAAAGCAGACATATTCATCATTTGTGTGGCTACTGGCATTGGGGTACACTATGATGTCTAGGGGCTCTCGGCAGCCCACTAGGGGGCAGTTGGCTGTGTCAGTCACCTGGTTTCTCCCTGGTATGTTTCCCTGACAGAGAATCTCCAGAGCATAGTGTTGGGAAGGTTAGGGTGAGCGTTGCCAGAGGACAATATAGAAGCCATTAAGAACAATAAAGTCTTAGCTTGAGAGGGTTGTCCGTGTCCTTGTGGACTTTCCATTTTTGGGATCCAGTGCAGTGATCAGTGGAGGGCGAAGGTCGTCTGGGTCTGGGTGTGGGCTCGCAAGCCGGACATGGGTGTGATGAATCCAGGCGGTAACTCTGTCTACTTTCACTGCAGTCGAGGTAGTCAGGAGCACCATGTACAGTCCTTTCCAGCGAGGTTCTAGGGTCTCACGGCAGTGTCTGCAGACATAGACCCAATCGCCAGGCTGGTAGTTGTGTGGGGTAGGAGGAGGAGCAGTCTCATAAATAACTTTCAGACAGGGCCATATGTCCTTGTTGGCATGTGCCACAGCCTCAAGAGAATCAAGCAATTTATGGTTATCAAACTCAGCAATTAACTCAGCTTTTAAATTGGGGAGGATGGGAGGAGGGTCTTCCAAACATGATCTCAAATGGAGTTAAACCTAACAGGTAGGGTGAGTTTCGCACCCTATATAGAGCAAAGGGAAAGAGAGCCACCCAGTCCCTGCCAGTCTCCATGGTTAATTTAGTAAGGGTCTCTTTTAGGGTTCTATTCATCCTCTCTACCTGTCCAGAGCTTTGGGGCCTGTACGCAAGGTGTAATTTCCATTTTGCCCCCAATATTTTGGCTAACTCTTGCGTTACCTGAGAGGTGAAGGCCAGTCCGTTGTCTGAGCTCAGAAGAGCTGGCACACCATACCTTGGAAGAATGTCTTCCAGTAGCCGCTTGGCGACTGTGTGTACAGTCATATGCTTCAGTGGGATGCGCTTCAGTCCATCCTGAAAAAGTATCTACCAGAACTAAAAGATATTTATAACCATATTTGCCCAGTTTTATCTCTGTAAAGTCCATTTCCCAGTGGGCTCTGGGCTTGGAGCCTCTCAACCGGGTCCCCTGTTCTTTGGAAAGGTTCTCAGCATTCGTCAGCCTACAGCTAAGACATTTGGAGGCAATTGGATCGACATGTGATCAGAGGTTCAGAACCTTGAGATGGGCGTTTCTTAGGAGGTCTTCTGTCTTTCGAGTGCCCAGGTGGGTGGTCCGGTGGATATGACTGAGAAGATCTTTGGCTAGGCTACTTGGAAGGATAATCCTGCAGTCCCCTGTATGCCACCAGGCATCAATCTTTTGGGTCATGGGAAGTTTGTGTATCAGCTTCAGATCTTTCTGAGAATAATCAGGTTGGTCTGGTAGCACGGGTGGCCCTGGGTCCAGCAGATGGATAGCCAGGACTAAGGTTGCTTTCAGGGCCATCTCCTTGGCAACCTGGTCTGCCCTCTGGTTTCCCCAGGCCATAGGCCTATCTGTCTTCTGGTGCCCAGGGCAATGGATGATAGCCAGTTTCTTGGGTAGCCATAGGGCAGCCAGTAAGTCTAGGATTTCTTGTGTATTTTTAATAGGCTTTCCCACAGTTGTGAGCAGCCCCCCCTCCTGGTAGATGGCTCCATGTACATGGGCTGTGGCAATGGCATACGGGCTATCCATATATACATTTAATTTTTTGTCCTTGCCCAATTTAAGAGCCTCGGTCAAGGCTATCAACTCAGCTCTCTGGGCTGAAGTCCCCGCAGGTAGAGCTGCCGCTCAGACAGTTTCACTTTCTGTTACTACGGCTGCCCCCACATACCTCTGTCCATTTTGCACAAAACTGCTGCCATCAGTAAACCAAGTGGCTTTTGCATCAGGAAGCAGCTGATTGGTCAGGTCTTTTCTGAGCCCGTGCACTTGGCTCAGGATTCCCACGCAATCGTGCAAGGGCATGTCCAGGTCTGGATCAGGCAGCAGTGTGGCTGGATTGAGGGCTGTGCTTGGGAGAAAATGCATCCTTGGGGGCTTAAGGAGTAAGCTTTGATAGTGAGTCATCCAGGCATTGCTCAACTAGCGGTCGGGTGGCTGCTTGAGAACTCCCTCGATGGCATGAGGGGTTGTGATACATAATTCTTGTCCTAAGGTTAACTTGTCCACATCCTTGACTAGAAGGGCCATGGCTACTATAATTCACAAACATGGCAGCCACCCAGCGGCAACTCGGTCCAGTTTTTTTTATAGATATGCCACCGGCCTGTTACAGGGCCCCAGAGTCTGAGTTAGGACTCCTTTGGCCACTCCCTTCTTTTCATCTATGAAAAGATGAAAAGGCTTAGCAACATCCGGAAGTCCTAAGGGCTGGGGCGGCTAGGAGGGCCTGTTTGATCTTACTGACAGCCTCTTCCTGGACCTCTGTCCAAACGAAGGGCTTGCGTTCCCATGTGACTTCATAGAGGGGCCTCACCAGTTCAGTAAATCCTGGGATCCACAAGGGGCAGAATCCTGCTGACCCCAGGAACTCCCTCACTGCCCTCTGGGACTGAGGGGTGGGTATTTTTAGCACTGTTTTCTTCCTGGCACCTGTAAGCCATCTTTGTCCTTCTTTTAATATGTATCCCAAATAGCTGACCTCTCTCCAGCATATTTGGGCTTTCTTGGCAGATGCCCGATATCCCAGTCTACCTAGGGTTGCCAGGAGGTCTCTAGTTCCCTGCTGACACTGCGAGGCATCAGCAGCAGCTACCAAGATGTCATCCACATATTGTAATAGGGTGAGCTGGGGGTGTTCCAGCCGGTACTCACCCAGGTTTTCATGGAGAGCCTCATCAAACAGGGTGGGCAAATTTTTGAATCCCTACGGCAGGCGGGTCCAAGTCAGCTGCCCGTTGAAGCCGATCTCCTGGTCTTGCCATTCAAAAGGAAAGAAGGGCTGGCTCTCTTTGGCCAGAGGCAGGCTAAAGAAGGCATCTTTCAAGTCTAACACCGTGTATCAGTTTCTGGAAGGTGGCAAGGAACTCAGGAGGGTGTAAAGATTAGGTACTGTTGGATCATCCATAACCTGTTTGTTTACCTCTCTCAAGTCCTAGACTGGCTGATAGTTGGTTGAATTTGGCTTTTTGACCAGCAAGGGGGGTTATTCCAAGCCGATCGGCAAGGCACCAAGACGCCTTGATCACTCAGGCGTCGGATATGAGGAGTGATCCCCAGCCTGGCCTCCTGGGACATAGGGTACTGTTTAACTCTGGCCGGTAGGATTCCAGGCTTAAGCTATATCCAGATGGGGTGCTGGTGGGCAGTCAGCCACATGCCCCCTGTCTCGGCCCAGGCTGTGGGGAACTACTTTAGCCAGGTGGAAACCTCCTCCTCTGGTGTAGAGGCCTGTTGGGGGCCCTGCTGTGAAGTAGAAGTCCCTTCACGTCCAGAAAGCTCACGCAGCTCGGATTCATGTGCTGAGACTCCTTTCAGCAGAGTACCTGGCATCCTTCCTGACTCCTTTTGAAGTGCCCGCCACAAATGCTCTAACATAAACATGGCCTCTGGCTCCAGGAATACCATGCTTTCCTGTGTGATTTTTCAGGTAGTCAGCAGTCTGGCAGCATGGCAGAAATCCACTTCCATATGTAAATAGAAAGCCTCACAAAGTATCTATCAGCCAAAGCTTTTACCACTACCCCCATGGTATAAATATCCCAGTCTTTCTCTCAATATTAGAGAGCTGGGTCGCAGAGAGCTGGATCAATAGAGAGTTGGACAGCAAGGAGCTGGAGCAGAGACACTTAATAAAGCTGTAACACAGATTAAGCCGAGTCTTGGGTCTTGGGTCTTACTACCGGCGACCCAGCCTCTCCGGGGTGCGCACTCCTCCATTACCGACTTGCGGACATCCTAGCTTTCACCGTCCTCGTACTCTTCCCACGTGGTCCAATGGCCAGTGGACCTCGCTTCCTGAGGAAAGTACATGGGTGAATTATGGGCGGGATTCGGCTGGACAACGTTCCAGCAGCGGAGACTTTCAGCACCGGAGCGGCGGACAGAGACGTGGGACCCGAAGCGGCGGAGAAGCCTGCGGACCCACCGTGCCATTCCGGGAGTGTGCCCAGCGCGTGTGCTCACCTATATCTGGCGCCACAACGTGGGAGCCTCTGAACCTCATGCCACAACGTGAGAGCCTCTGAACCTTATGCCAGCTAGGAGCTGGTGCCCACAGAAACGCTAGGTCCGTAAGTATCCCTCCCCTTCAGGAGGGCAACAAAAAAATATCTTTTAAATTTCCTCCTTTTTTTTCTGGTCTAGAAGTCCTCGCGAGGGACTGCTAGGGCCAGAGAGACAACTGAGGTTTCCTGGCCAGGGCTACCCCCTGGTGTTAACTGAAGGTCTCTCTGATCCCCTAGGGGACCCCGACTGCCTGTACAGGTGTGGACAAAGACCTCTATCTAGACATCTCTTTAATATCAAACCTGGTGACGCATCGGCCAAGTAAGGACCATTAGGGTGGCCGCCAGCCTCTGAAATATGCGGGCAGGTCTTGTGACTGGGAGCCACTGTGATCCCCTGAAAATTTGATTTCAGGAACGTCACTTTGGAAACCGTCACGTCTCAACTTTTCTATCTGAACACCACTAGGAAAATCCCCAAAAGTTCCAGGGATTTCCACTTAAGCCTTGGAGT